TCTCCCAAGTTCCTTCAGACATATCCAATAACTGTTAATGAGATCAGACAAGGGGAGGGGATAAGAGATGGATATACACTGACATTGACTCTTGACAAGAGAATGATAATAATTGCAATCCAGATTGTGAGATGGAATGGAACAATTGAGGACGCTGATCCAAGGATCAAAGACCAAGCTGCAACTTGGGTCTTTTGAGGACGTGTAATGGACTCTGGAGTAGTGAGGCGATGTTTTTGGTGCAGTAAGTCTATCCAATGGCGATTAGCTGAGCAACAAAACGATCAAACTCTGCCACTTGCTGTGGAGCAATTGAAATTGCAATGTGTAAGAACTACTTATTTGAGATTGAATGGATGTATGTATGTGCCAGAACTGTGAAAAACTCGCTGAATGGTGATGGAATGCAGTTGAAACGTTGAAGTACGACTTGGCGCTCGTCTGAGAGGGCAGCGGCACTGCACGCACCGGTTGCAGTCGGCGGCCTTGCAGGACCAATTTTACTAGCGAGTTCGTCGAAAGGGAGTTCAATATTCAATATTCAATACAAATATTGATTCTATGATATTGAATGCGCAGAGAAGATAAATGATGACTAATTAAGAATCTCAAGAGGGAGGCCCGAGTACATACCACATGATGCATCGATGTATAGTACTGTCGAAACGAGAGTTACAGGCGAGGAAAAATGTCAAAGCGTGAGTGGGATCGCGTAGTCATTTGGTCCGTTGTGAGGTGGAGGGATTGAAAGGGCAGTGCATGTTTAAGCGCTGCAGCGCTGAAGCTTCCTTCAAGCACTAGTAGTACAAACCCAGTTAATTCCCAGCATGTGCAACCGGTTTGTCAAATGTCCACAGTCTGATCCTTTGAAGGCAGCAGTTAAAGGTTTAAGAACACTCGTTTGATTGTTGAGTATTCTGGATCTAGCCTGGAGCACTCTAGATTGCATTTCGAATGTGATTTCACTAGTGGCAAAATGTGGTAAAATGTCGAAACCTCCGCTGTGCTATGGATCAAGGACTTGCAAATCCACTCTTTGGCAGATAGACCGGATTGCATTTTGATACCCTTGTGGAGCTCGATAAATCAAGGGTCCGATATTTGGACGCGAGCGCTCATCCGACGCTGTGCTTTCCAGGTTTTTGGTGCTGGCCAGTAAGTAGCTGCGCACCTTTAGGGTTAGTTCGCAGTCCGTTGGTGGCTGATCTTTGTTTACAAATATTATCTTCCAGCTGAGGGGAATTAAAGTTGGGCTGGGTTTGAATTTTGCTGCTGCACGTGATATTCTACTTAGTATGTCGTCTCATGTAAATGTCACTCGCAGTCCCTCCACACTCGAACCAGCGGTTGGGAAGGAGCCTGCAGGGGATAGTATAGCCTCGATGTACTAGTGGGCAAACCTATTTTTGTCACGAGGCCAATTCATTTCTGCCCCCTGCACTAACTACATCGAGAAATCCGTCCTGTACGCAACTTCGAAGTTCATTAGTACCGGCCGTGATCTTTTCCCGCTAAACAATCCTGGTCACAAACTGCCTAGCCTCACACTCAATACTTTGGGGGCAATCATCCAGGACGTGGCCTGCGAGCAGTCTCTCACTGGCAACATTAATGTCAGAACGCGACCGTTTTCCTTGTCAGACTGCCGCTGTGACATTTTTATGACACATGTCTACCCTTGTCTGATTTTGCGTATTTGACGCTCTCAACCACGCCTATATGAGGGCCATTTTGGAGCGCCCTGACGGGCGAACATTATAGAGCGCAGCTGGGGGCCTCATGCACCGCTACGATTTTATATTGGAACCGCAGTCACACCGAGTCTATAAAATTGGCTACACCTTTCAGACCAAACGCACACCATATAACAATGGAATTACCACCTGGGATCGTCTACCTCATCAGTTGCTCACCACAGCTCCTATTACCACCCGCGATAGTTTATGGTCTAAACCGCATCTGCGACTTTGCATTTGGCATATCCTTGCCAGGATGGTCACAGATTCCTGCATATGTGTTGTCTTTTCCTGCTCTCTTCACTTGCAGCTTGCTCGCAGCAAATTATCGCGATAGGCGCCAGGCTGCTATGCGTGGTGCTATTCTCCCACCCAGGTTTCCAAGTAGATGGCCTGGCGGTCTGGATATCCTCGCAGCCTTGGAGCAAGATTTCAAGATTGGATACATGGGTATGCTACCAACTGACTTCACTTTCCCCTATCGATGCTTACGATCATAGGGGGATTAATGGGAGAGAAGTGTAACACTCTTGGACATACGTTTAACATGCGAGTGCTCTTTGAAAATAGGGCATGTACATTCTTTCACACCCTAAGTTTCATTGTTGATCTATCGCGATCAACAGATCTTCATTGCCGAACCAGAATACATAAAGGTGAGCAGCTCATCGGAGTGGGATGATCCTAGACATTCACGCGTAACAGGCAATTCTAGTGTCACAGTTCACATCATTTGCGAAAGGTCGGCGATTTCATGTGTGGAGTATTGTCTCGATTTGATGGAATGACGTTTTCAACCAACAGGGCCTATGTTTTGGGACCATGTCAACTCCCTCCTTGGCACTGGAGTGTTCAATTCCGATGGTGAGCGTGTTTCCTGTATTCCATCGTGACAATATAGTTTACTGTCTATTTCAGGGGATGTCTGGAAGTATGTCTTATCTATTTCCGTTCATTGTTCAGGCTTAATCCAGTGATTGCAGATTCCACCGCTCGATGACACGCCCGTTCTTCAACAAAGACCGGATTAGTCATTTCGATATATTTGATAAGCACGCGGAAGACGCGATTAGCCAGTTGAAGATTAGACTCAGAGATGGCTACCCCGTGGATTTCCAGGTAAACTTAATGACTATACTATGCCTATTCTTGCTGACATTGCTTTAGGACATGGTCTCTCGTTTCACCTTAGATTCTGCGACGGAATTCCTCTTCGGAAGAAACGTCTGTTCTCTCTCCGCCGGCCTGATCTACCCACCATCATCGTCCCGTTCTCAAGACGTCGCGTTTGCGAACCACCCAGCCGACAAGTTTGCGCATGCATTTAGTGATGCTCAGATTGCTACCGCCTATCGCGGCCAGTTTGGCTCAGCGTGGCGCCTGTCTGAATTCTGGACTGATCGTGTTAAGAAGCACATGGATACTTGTTACAAGTTCATCGACCCCATCCTCAAGGAGGCGTTAGAAAAGAAAAAAATGCTCAAGGAAAATATCAACGAGAAGGCCGACGCAAATGATAGGGACGTCAAAGAAGGCGAAACGCTGCTCGATCACTTGGTAAATTACACAGAAGGTATGCAACGCAAGCGTCGACGCGTCATTCCAAATGACATGAATTTGTTTCCTTCTAGACCCCATCGTCATCAGGGACGAAATTCTTAACATCATGATTGCTGGACGTGATACTGTATGCACCTCTTTCGGACGGTCATTCTCAGGATGCTAAGACCTCTCTTTCCAGACTGCAGCTACCCTGACTTTTGTCATCTATATGCTCACACAGCATCCCGATGTTCTCCGCCGTCTTCGTGAGGAGATCCTTAGCAAAGTGGGTAGCTCAAGGAGACCAACCTACGATGATATGCGCGATATGAAATATCTGAGAGCAGTCATCAATGGTGAGTCCTACTCAAAAGCCACTTTCTCTTGAGGTGACACGGGAATTCCAGAAACGCTTCGACTCTACCCGCCTGTGTGAGTATCGGGTTCGGTCCCTTTAAATTTGTTGTACTTGATCTCATTGAATTTCATTTCTCTAATTTTATCAGGCCATTCAATGGCAGGTAAATACTGCTCCGCCCATGCGTGCGTCTCTGTACTCATTATGGATTAGGACCAGTACAGAACCAACGGTCTTGCCGGGAATCAATGGGGGGAAACCGATCTACATCCCTCAAAATACTTTGTGATTACATCAAGAAATGGGTTGTTTGTTCAACTGACAATGGATATCTCAGGACAATTTACTCTGTATTCCTGATGCACCGACGAACAGACTTATGGGGACCAGATGGTGAGCAGGATAATCGACTGACCACAGCATTGGAACGAATATTTACTCGCATTTTTCTCCACAAGCTGAAGAATTTGACCCTGATCGGTTCCTCGACGACCGCCTCCAGAAATATTGTACCTCTAACCCATTCATCTTCGTGCCTTTCAATGCAGGCCCCAGAATTTGTGTTGGGCAACAGGTATGTCGACTGCTCCCTCAAAGTATTCATGCTGACATCTATGTTTATCCAGTTCGCCTACAACGAGGTTTCCTTCTTCCTCGTCCGACTTCTCCAACAGTTCTCTTCGGTCTCCTTGGCCACTGATGTCCAGACTCTTCCGCCTGCGGAGTGGGCGAAGTGTTCTGGCCGCAAGGCCATCGAAAAGGTCGTCTCCAAAAGCCACCTTACCATCTATGCAGAGGTAAGCTCTCAATTTTGATTCTTTATCTAGTGGCTCACGTCATTATAGGACGGGTTATGGGTTAGGATGGAGGAGGCTAGCCCTGTTGAAGTTGAGGTTGTGTAAATACAAGGGACAGAGCATTACGAGGAAACACTATCATGTGCGTCGATGCAGAGGACATATGTACCTGCTGCACTCTGCATTTGTGTGGCCGTCACGCCGTGAGGTTTAGATAATATTTTGGGACTGGACGCGGGTCAGGATTTAATTTCAGTCATATGTTAGTACCCAACCCGTTTATTTTCCTTTCTTTCAATGCTGGTCCTAGAGTATGCCCTGATCAACAGGTAATCCCCTTTGCGCACAATTTTCCCTGTTGGTCCCCATGATCCGAACTTCAAACTATGTACTTCGGTGGCTGCCTCTACTAAACTTGCATCGTCGTAGGAACAAGTACTTTCTTCAACATTGCTGGAAGAAACAGGTTGCAGTGCCAATGCAATAAATGCCAGAGTGAAGAACTGCATCACAGTACTAAGACTGACTGGTACAGACGATCGTTGACCAGTCAGTGGTTGAACCTACCGGAACCCACACGATTCATATGCCCACACTATCAGCTCACCTAGCCAGCCCAGGCTTCCAAAGAAGAGGCAAGGTCATAGACGCTTGACTGATTTGGATCCAAGCACTCAGCACCAGGCTTGATTTCATGAAGAATCATGCTCACAGGTACGTGGAATCTAGAATAAGGTATCCAAAAATTGACTCTAAAGTACCAACGTAAACAAACCCCGAGGGGTTTCGATGTCATGAAACAAACGACCGCTGAAACTCGAACAACTTCAAAGATACTTAAAGCATTTTACCGATCATGCCTAGGCGCTGGAGCGCCGCGAACCAGGCACCCTTTGGGATGGTGGCACCATATACCCAACGTTGCAACCACGCAGCAATTCCACCTGAAATGTCACTATGATGTTGTTCTGCTCAACACCGCAACAATATACAAGAACGTACCTTTGATTGGTCCTAGCGGTCCAAATCCAAACATGTGGAGAAGTGGGCGAAGAAGCCATCCCCCAAATAATGTACCCATCTCAGGTAACAATAAGGGTGACAACTCTGCAATCACAATGAGCAAGAGAGCATTGACGATCTCGGGGTGCTGTTCAGCAAGGTCTCCTGCATCATGTGATATAATGTTGTCAATGTTCCGGAATGATCGGATACTCGTGACGTACCTATGGTCACGGCAACATGTTGAACAACGAACTTGAGAGAGCTAGTGTGACTTTCCAATAGTTCTTCACTGACTCCGAGCTTGGTGGTGACCCCTAAAAAACCTTCCTCGAAGCGGTCAAGGGCCGCGTTGATCATGATTGTACGGTTGTCGTGACCGGCAGCCTCCCCAGGTGGTGGGAACGTCTTCATAAGGTCTTCGAATAGGACAACGAAGATATCCTTCTGTTCTTCTATTATGGTGTGGAGAGAAACGCCACTGTCCTCTGCGGCTCCGCCGCAAACTTTGCACAAAACAGTAGCGGTAGCGGAGACATTGACCATAGACTCCCTGAACTCTGTGAGCATCTCGGATGGATACAACTCCACGGCATGATGAAAGAATTCATCGGCATACTCCTTGACATTTGGACTGAGCTCTATGATTTTGTCCCAGAACTTTCGTGTGTCTGGAGAACACAATTCATAAGCAGCACCTTCAGGAATGAATAGATAATCAAATTGACCATGTATCGCATCTGTGATTTTCAAAGGATTGTCAAACAGCGCTGTAGATCATTATTCATTTCTGACATCAGGAAACAATTGAAAAGCGAGTAGTCTGTACTCACATTTCGCCACTCCCCATCCTTTTCCTAGATTAAACTCGACGTTCGTCGTAAGAAAATATTCCTCATTGATGGACTCGGAGGAATGTGTGCTTTTCTTGATGTTGCTGGAAGTGATTGGTTGCAGCGTTGAGGCAGCTACCAATGTAACATATGCTAGAGTAGCGAACCACATCGTAGTACGTAGCCGACCGTCAAGTGACTCAAGTCAGTGGTTTGAACTAATTATTATGTAACAAGTTGAAGCTTCGAAAATGATATCGGCGGCCTGCAGCGCTTCAGCCTACGCGCGCAGGATGCTGATGCGGCATATTTAATCTGCAGGAGAGCAGCATTAATTACCACGTGCAAGCGAAATTCCAATTATTTGTAAATTTGTAGCGATGCAGAGATATTGAGAAGATGTGATTGTCAAGCTCGACTGCTTTTGGAACTTCGACCTGAAAATGTCCAAGCTCTCATCCACGTATTTCAGGTCACTGCGGCCCTGTTTGCCAGGTCGTAGCATTCAATGCCAGCGTCAATCTATATGTTTGCGCCCTAACAAGGCAACGGCACCTGACAGACGTTGTTTTATGTCGGGGGCACGGGATAGAGCTGCTGTCGGGGTATGCTTATTCAGTTGACCTGTTATTCTCTGTTCACATTCTTGCATCTGATCCCAGGTCTTTACGCCAAAGGCTGCAGCTCTATTCGTTGCAACTGGCGTTGGTTTATTTTACTACTTCCATTATGAGAAGCAAAAGCTCCTCGAACAACGGCGTACGTGCCTCTCTGCGTTCCACCTAAAGCATTTCAAGAAAAAATACTCATACAGAAAAGGAGCTCGAATCTCGAAGCGTTGGACGAGCGTATGTCGGTGGTCCATTCACGCTAACGACTCACGAAGACAAGCCTTTCTCTGATAAAGACCTCTTGGGGAAGTGGAGCTTCGTCTACTTTGGGTTCACCAACTGTCCCGACATATGTCCTGCTGAATTAGACAAGATTGGCTCAGTCTTGACGCCTCTAGGTTCGTGTTCATAAATCACTTTAACCGTGGCACGCATTCACCACATCAAATACAGAGAAGAACTATGGGACAATCTTCCAGCCCGTATTCATCTCCGTTGACCCTGCACGCGACTCTGTCTCTCAGATGAAAACATATCTCACAGACTTTCACCCTCGTATCATCGGTCTCACAGGTGACTATGCAACCGTGAAAACCACATGCAAAGCCTACCGCGTCTACTTCTCCACCCCGCCTAACGCAGATCCCAAGGGTGACTACCTCGTCGACCATTCCATATACGTCTACCTCATGGATCCAAACGGGCAGTTCGTAGAAGCGTTTGGGCAGAGTAGTACACCAGATGAGGTCGTTGAGAGGGTAAAGAAGGAAATTTCAGAGTTTGAGAAGGAGACAGGGAGGAAAGTGTAAAACTCCAGCACACAATAGCATCTTACATTCAGCATATCACACCACTCATCTATTTCGTCGCATTGTTTAACGTCTCGAAAGCGATTGACACGAAGCGTCCTTAAGAAAGTCTTCTAGATGATAGCTTCGGCAGCCTCTGCAGTCTCCTCTGCTTGCTGGAGTTTCAGTTTTGACATTTTCTTCATCCTCCGCATCATGCTGTAGAAAAAATGAGCGTCATATATGTGGGTACGTGGTTGAAATGCCTACTCATCGTATTGACACCTGTTGGGTGTGCATCGGTCAGACCCTCAACAGACAGAAAAGTAGAGATTTAACTCACTTCTCATAGCCGTGGCGCTCATTCTCGCAAGTCCAGGGTAAATAATAGTTTTCTCTCCGGCAGGTATTCAAAGGTATCAGGAGTCTGAAGTATCACGAACAATAGTATTGTGGGCCATACGCTCTCAACTGGAAGGGTAAAGTAAGCACGTACGCTGAGCACTGATCTCTCCAAGCCAAAGGCACCTTGGCCGCCTTGAGCTCCTCCTGGGATGCAGTGAGTGATGATGGCATGGAGGATTTCAAGAAGACGTCGAGGGAGGAACTTGAGGAAACGAACGGACTCGGAATGAGGTCGAAGTGGCTGTGCCAGTTGTTATGAGTATTTGTCCATACACTCAGAGCGCTCGTCGATCGCGCTCAGCGCCAACGCGCCAACATTAAACTAACAGCCATTCGAAAAATCGGAGTGTGACTCATGGAAAAATACAAGTGAGAATATGTAAGCTTAGTACTACTGTCCCCCCTGTTCTTTTTCCTCTTGCTTCATACTCATCTGGATCGCACGAGCAATTGCTTCTTCTTCATCCATGTCTTCGTCTTGCTCCTCGCCCATGTCAACATCATTGCGTTCGGACAAGGCAAGAGCTTGAGCGAGCATGGCCTCCTCATCATTGTCTACTCCTGCTGATTCCGTCTGAGGCTGGGCATCGGTAGCCGATTGACGTGTTTGCTCTTCCACTGCTTGCCGAGCTTGTTCTTCTTCCATGGACATGCGAAGGGCCTAAACAAAAAATATATCAACAAGCCCGCTCATCCGACTTCAGGAAAAGCGACGCACCAGTGCAAGCTCAGGGTCCAAACTTGGATCAACACCAAATTCAAAGTTGGCACCACCAGAACCCGATGCACCACCGATGTCTCCCATCGCCTCTGGTGGTATCCCCCGGTCTTCCGACAAAATTGGGGAAGAAATGATTACATCTGACAGTAGATGTGTACCAGGTGGTACAGACACCAAATGTCTAAAAGACCAGGCGCATCAATCTACGCACACATTCAAACGAGGTGACACTCACGAGTTATCGCTATTTGCTGTATTGTCTACGAAAGCCTTGAGGACATTGGTTTCCTCCTCGACGCCATCACCAAACGCAACAAAGTCAACAGCAACATTGTTCTTCTTCAATCTCTTTGCGAGCTTCACCATCTCCCGCTCGTCCGCACCCTGACCCTCCAGCGGAGATCCCACAAAGACTATTATCCTCTGCCGCAAATTCTTGTTTTCTCTATGTTTGAGGGCAAGCTGAGCGATGTTGATTGCAGTAGGAATATCTATTGATCCGCCAATTTTGGATGATGTTACATGCAAGGCCTTGATTATCTGTCCAATGTCTTTCGAATGGGTCACGAGAACCTCGGGTCTGCAAGAAACATTAGCAATCATAGTTTGCGCACTTAACTAACTCGCACCCTTTGTTAGCCATTGTCATGACGCCAACAGTGTTCTCTGGATTTGAATCAATCTTGGTCTGGAAGATGGTCTTGACAGCATCAGACTGAGCTTCGAAGCGGGATGGGATATAGTCTCCATTGCGCATGTATTCTGAGTTGTCGATTATCATCATCGTTGCCTCGAGCGGCATCTTGAGTGAATATAATTAAAGGAAGGAGATATACGTGTTGGTTGTGGATCGTGAAAGCGCGACGAGCAGTGACGCGTTCTGCTAGAAAGCTGTTGTCTTCGTTCGGAACCCTAACCCCAAGGAAGGAATGCTGTGCTGTTTTGCACCGTGAGTGCACAAACTGTTGCTGCACTCAAATTCACAACCGACCGTGCACTTGTTCAAAGGGGAACACGAGGGGTGCTCTCTCGACAATCAATACCATTTCTAGGCCGATATTTGGAATATTGGACTCGATTCATGCAATAATAACTAGGTGATGCTCACGATTTTTTGTGGTTGCTACTGCTGGATTCTCTCATCGCGTTTGTAACTTTGGTCCTTGCACCAACCGCATGTATGTCCTGCGTTTTCTTCCCGCTGAACTCAGTGATATCAATAATCGTAGTGAGCATTAAAAGTGTCCTTGCAGACGGTGACATTGTGGCACTCTCAGTTAGAGCGGTGGCAAATAAGAGCGTCTTTAAGTAAGTTCATTGTCAACTTTGTTATTGTCACCACTCTTAGGCAGCGACAATAGCACTTCTGTCTTGCGATACGGTTTAGTCGACAGTTATGCTGAAAGTGATTCAAACACCGCTGCTTCTATTCTCTTGGCGGAGATGATCCTTGGACTACAGGATTACTTTTCTGCTTCTGCAAATCTTGAGGCAGATGTCTCGGCATTCATCGCATTCATCATACCACAATCATTCGATTTCCCGAGAGGTCGATTCCTAGCCGGGTGCGGTTGGTGGAAGTAGCGCAGATATCGTGAATGTCTCCTTTCTTGCGATCGCGAATCTTTCGACAAACTTTGGCCAACTGCTGAAGTCGGCATCGATTAGGTGACCATACTGCAGGCAATTACTAACCGTTTTACGGTCGAAAGCTTACCTGTCGGGCTACCTTGGGACTTCCCACGTTTCCATCAGATTTCAGCTCTTGAAGTGGTCTTCGTATCTGCTTCGCCGCTTATTATCGTCTCCACTGCGACTTTCCTCCTCTTGTACATATTTCTTGGTCTTTTGCATCTTCGAAAAGAGGGTGAAGTACTCAACTTGCCGGTGAGTGAGGTTCAGAGTCCATCGGTTTACCCGTGTTTATAAATCACCAAGAACGTCACGAAAGTCGTCCATGGCTCAAATCTACCCGACGAGATTTCGCGGCTAGTACAGGAAATCGCTGATGGAACCGGTAAATGCACTGAGCGATATATCCTTGTAAAAATGGGTAAATGGATGATTGTTCTACAACAGCATAGTGATGGCTCAGGTGTTCTCCAAGTTACTTGATTTGTTGCTAGGCACGAGCGCCTACGCTTCTGATATCACTCGGGTCGTCAGTTTCAAGTACTCGGCGGTTCCAGCTGTTCCCCATCTTGTTTTATGTATATAACAACACAAACACTCGCGGCTTCACCCCATTCCTGTGAACACGTACTTGTCTAGGATTCTGCCTTGACACACAGAATTCTGGCACTTGAGGCGAAATCTTGAGGTAAAGTTTGATGCGCCACATGGATGTCTTTGGAATGATCCATTGAATTGCAGTGCTGCAAGCCATGCGTTTTGCATCATTGCACAGAAGCACCTGATCATATTGGTTGGTTCTTCTTCGTCACTAGTCCGCTCTGAAATTCGTTGCAATTAAAGTCACGATAAAAGCTGGGATTACGCCCTTGAGCCAGCTGGTCGTGTCCGCTGCCCTTTACCCAGTGACGGATATCGTACTGAAATTACAGGCAAGTATTCATGTCCACATTGTTACATTTATGTGTACTCATAGTAGTACGTACGATAAATCAGGCTGAGGTGATTTCCGTGACCTTGGTTCCCATCGCAGGCAAGGCGTTCCCCTGGCCGTACTTGGTATGTTTTCCGCTTTCGTCGCTGCACTATGGGTGTAGCAATATCTTGGGTCGCTTCTGCTACCTGTGAGTGCATTGGATTTTGACTTGCGTTTGATTTCTGGTCAGTAAATGTTCTAACTGCCGTTATAGAAAGTGGAATGATTCCCCTTGTTGTTAAGGCACTCCCTGTGCAAGGCGTGTATAGGTGAATCGCTTTGTCATTTCGCTGGTCTCCTGTTTAAGACCTCGGATTGCAGTGCCCCAATCACAACGTCAGCTATTACAGGGTTGGATCTATCAGAGCACATGCTCTGTTCGCTGGGGCAAGGTGATACTCGGGCCAAATTACTCCTTCTCTGTTGGCAACATCCGACACAGAGTTTGCTGCATATGACCTAAATCCAATTGATCTTCCCACAACCGTCAGCGCGCACTGGATGTCAGATGTAGTTGGTATCAACCCGACTTGTGAGTGGGAATGTTTCGACAATACAGCTTGCAAATAATCAAAGTATTTATATTTCTGCAAGTGCTGTGTGTCTTCCAGACTCGTGAGGTGGTTACTACTGACGGAATTGTGTTTCTGGAAGTCCTGCCTGTTCGACAAGGCAGACAATATATCATCACTTAGGGCAATTTATACCCCACACAAACGCCCCTGATGCTATCTATCGCCATGGGCGGTGTTACGAATGCTGTCCCAGTGAATCAAACTGCTCTATCTTTGGGAGGCGATTCTACTGACCAGTCCAGCTTCCTTTTCGGAAAAGGACAAATGGATGCCTTGCCTCCGCTGGGATACAATGAGCCATTCATAGTCGCGAACATGCTTCCGATTGATACCCTAGCACGGACGTCCGCTGGAATGTTACAATCTGTATCAAAGTATGCACAAGCCGAACTCCTGTCAAAGATTGTACCATAAGATTGCTTCGCAGCTTATTTGGCGGGTTTTTCTGAGACCACTTATGTTCCTACGATGGTGTTCAGCCTCCAAGTTGTTGTCGTATCATCCATGCCTTTCATTACCGCTTCTGCAGTCATGTTTTTGGAATTATTTTCATTCTGGTAACCATCATGCACTTCAGCGTCATGAGGAAGCCTTCACGCCGGTCAGTGTCTCATCTTCCCTCCTTGGTTCCAACCTTCCTGAAGACTTTGCGCTCGCAGGAAAATCACACGCTTTGGTATCTGACGACGACCAAAGAGTTGTTCTTTAGAAGGCTGAGGATGGTACGAATGTGTTACAGATTATCAAACAGTAAGGAAGTCACAGGATAAAGAAAGTTACAGCCACCCACACAACGATGTATCCATTATCCGGTCACTGACGTTGCTCCCCTGGTAGTCGATGCAATTGGATGGACGAAGAGTCTTGCTGAGGAACTTGCTCAATCAGAGTGACTGAGTCCACTCATGTCTGAAAGTACAACCAGTCCGCGCCAAGCAAGGCATACCAGTACTCCCTGGAAGTAATATCGCCAAACTTAACGAATACGCGTATCGGTCAGCGCAACTTGAACATCTTGTGTGATGATGGATGACAGTGGCGTTAACCATATCACGCACGAGTAGGTGATGCTTGGTTCAAAGTTACCACATATCCACCAACCAGTTCTCCCCAATATCATGCACTCCAATAGATTCCTGTAACGCTCGGTGAAAGTGGACAAGAAAATGCGTTCCACCACTGCAAGTCAGTTCGTCTTTCCATTCAACCCGCAAACTTTCTGAAGGATGTTGCGTGAACGAATGGTCATCGAAGTCCCGCGTGGTTTCTCTGCTCCGACCACGAGACAACGCAACATATGCATTAAAAGGCGACAATGAAAATGAACTCGTTTTGCCGAAGAGTCAACCAAGACGTGATCGATTGTTTGGCCTTGAGATTTGAAGTCGGTAAATGCATATGCTGGTACCGGGGGGGGACTGCCGTCGTGTCACCCGCGTTGTAGGCTTAGCTCCGATACTGAACTTGTACTCGACAGGGACAGCTGTAATCTGCCTAGCCGACACGCTTGCATTAGTGAGAGATTTGGTGGAGGTTGCAGTAAAAATGCCAAGCGGTCTGATTTAACCGCAGCTGGCACGTCAAAGTCAAACTGGGTCCAGGGAACGAGGTAGAGACTTGGATTTGAATGTAATCGTTACTCCAATGCTTGATAAACAGCATATAGGGTCATCGATAGCTGCATGATCATGAGTAAACGACCTGAGAGACTTTGAGAAAATGTCAAAACAGCGGATGTGACTTCAATGGGAAAAATCACGTAATCACATAATGACCCGGAGGCTGAGCGCAGTTTCTTGGGGTATACAATGTATGGTTCTTTCCCAATTTGATGCGGGCAAATTTGACCGTCTTTGAAATTGGTTATTGGTTTCCACTTCCCTAGCGTGGTTAATTGCTAATCCAGATAAGTACCATGACAGTGTACAGCCCGCAGCCATCGGCACGTGCCGACTGCCATGGGGTTCGATATACATAGGAGTCTCTGGGACTACAACATAGGTAAGTCATCTCTTCATTCTCAACTGCCACCATCTCAGTATGTCTCATTTTAACGAGGTTGGTGGTGGACTAGCAGTCCAGTTTATTATCACCATAAACCTACAGTCAGTGAACTAATCTGTATGATCCAGGATTCATATCGTCTTCCGGAGGGCATAAAGCGGATTGCATATGATGCTGATACCCAGCAGTACACTTTCCGCGACCGCTCCGGTCAACTTTACCAGAATCCCTCAGGAGAGACGTATGGTGTTCTGAAACCTGTGTCAGCACCGTCCGCTCCTCGTCGCAGTGTGACCATAACAGGTGAGCTCGTAACTCCCGTCGCGACCCCCAATTGCTTACATTACTCCGTACGTAGAACGCAGAGACCCTGCCCTCATTCGTGCTCGCTCTGTCAAGCGCCCCGCAAAGACCTTCGATGACTTCCTTCCCCGAGAATACATCACCAGCGCGGAGGATTCCAATTCTACACCCGGCTCTCCCAGCGAAGATATCCCGCGGGTGAACAGGAATCGTACGCTACCAAAGGTCCCAAGAATTGCGAAGGTTATGCGGGCAATGTCACCTCGCGAGTCGGAAGATGATGATAAACACTACTTACTCGACGATTGCCCTGCCAGTCCCACCTCATACGCGACTCACGATGATGATGAGAAAGGGTTGAGTCGCTCAAATTCTAACGCGCCGTCTTTTTTGTCATTGCCTATGATCGACACACATATTAATTTGTCCAGTATGAATCAAACCTTTGTATGATTGTAATTTGTCGGAATCATTGTATCATATTTGTAGCACCACTGGACCATTTTTGGATAGGGACTGGTAAAAAATCAAGTTCGTTTGACCTGGTGCTGACGTATCTGTCCCGCTCAGCATGTAGCACACAGATTAAAGTGATCAAGAGTCGATTATATCGATGGAGGTCTGTGTCCGCAGCAAGTCCGCAGTACATGTTACACGACCCCAGAACAAAATAAACACAAACAAAACACAACAAACGAACGACGAACAAACAAACTGGCCCACGATCGACCAAGACTACACCAAATTGACTGAAGCCCGTTCTCTCTCCTTGTTCCTTGACAGCAAGATGGAGAGTGGCCTGAGTGGTCCCTGTACAGGTGCGAGCTTTGGATCAGCTTTAATCTCTGTCACACGACCACGCGAGAGCACCCGCGACCCCTTCTCCACAGCAGCTCTTGCAATGCGTTTGGGAAATGTGGCGCAAACGTCCCTGTGCGATTGGGTGATAGTTGGACCATCGGACGCGTTCTCCTTGATAACGGCTACAGGCGGTGGCGAAACAAGGGGTTTCCCATCAGGGGAGCTCGAAAAGGAACGCTAGAAGAGAATCGTTGAGCATATGCATGCACGATAAGGCTGCTACGCACATGTGGCTCTGACTCTGCATTTTCTCCGATAGCATTGCTCTTCCGTATACCCTGGGTCCATGTGAAGCGAGGCGGTCCTTCATCCCGTGAGTTCGACGTAACTTGAGAGTGGCTGACAGACTATCGAACGCACCTTTCGGCTTCTTCTCAAAAAAATCATCTGGGAAGTTCTGCACCTTCTCCGCGTTCTGCTTTGCGTTCCAAGAATTCCGGATCCGGCGGTAGAGGAGGTAACCAACGATGTATGTGATGCACAGAGCGAGCAGAATGAGCGCTGCGAATGGGAAAGTGCGCTTCTGTGACTCGTCCACGGAGGATGTGGCAGTTGCGGTGGGGGAAGTGGTGGTGCTCGAAGGGGCCATGGTAGTGCGTCAGGTGAAGATCAGATTGACGCGTTGGCAGTTAAGGATACCTCACTTGAATACTGATGGTGGAGTGTAAGGAAGAGGGTAAATATGTGGGTGATGTGTCAATAAGTATGGCCTTGGACTGGAGGCTGACACGAATTGGACCTAAATCGGTCATAGGTATACTTCGAGCCCTGTACACAAGATTTATGTCGGCATACAATTTTGTACAACGTGATCAAATATCTAGTACGGCTGTACGTGTTAGGTTGTTCAATCTCGTGCTCGAAAAGATAGGCCTGATACAAGTACTGGATTCCTGCGTGCTCGGTCATGTAGGGAATTGTATTCCCCTCAGGCTGGTGACGGAAAACCCTTATTACATCGCTACCTTAGAACGCCACCCCCTTGGTACTGCATATATAAACTCCCATTCGGTTCATACTGTAGTAACAGAGTAGTGGTGTACATATTTCCCTTTTTCGAAACTCACTTCAGTGCTATCTCATACTTCGAACTTGCACAATGTAGTGCACTTACAGTCATTTCGACGTCGATAGAACGAAGGTATGAACTTCAAGCGTTGATGGAATATAAATTCGGCGGGCGCTACATCAAGTATCATAGGACACAACTAGTATAAGGCTATAACTGTCACATCCTGTATTAGGTTAATTAGATACTGGAAACTAGCACCAGCTAGTACCGTATCATAATTTATGATGAGGTAGAGGGTTCATTACTTATCACTAGCAGCTCACCGTGGCTTTGCCATTCAATTGAATATAACAACTCAAACAGCTGAACTTACATAAGCAAGTAAGCATGTTAGATAGAATTCAGGACAAACACAGGCAGCCAGTTGAAAGTGAGTATGCGGGACAAATACTAGTACTGGGCGCTGTGCCCTGTATTTGTTCGCACACATCAAAACATGTAGACAGGGTCTCTGATCAAGATACTTATATGTAGATCGAGAATAGGGAAATCTCGTTTTCCTGCCCGATCGTTCGCCAATCCCAATTATCAAAAGCATCGGAGTCAAGACTAAATCAGACGGGGGAATAATTGGATTTTCGTTTGCACGCGGTTCTTAAATGCTACCGGGTGCACTCATTATTTCAACATGCTGCATCGGCGTCGCCGTCCTGCGTGCGGAGGCTGAAGCTTAGCTTGACGACCGCCAATGCTCATTTTCGAAGCTTCAACTTGTTACATACGGCCAGTATTGCTCTCAAGAGATGGGGAGAACTGCCCTGTCGACGACGGTCGTGTTCAAGTGTAGCTGCTGCTGCTGCTGCGCCACGCGTGTTACATGCGTCTATGTACGTCATGATCTCGAGCTCTGCCATGCTTCTTAGCACCTCTGCCTCACTCTGCTACTCCACACCACCGACCTGCCCCGCGCTACTTCAGACCAGATCTGCCCAAGCCTGCCAGAACGTTTCGCTACAACTTGACTACGACGTACAATGCAGTTCGCTACCCTAGCGTATGTTACATTGGCAACTGCCGCAACGCAACCAATCACTTCCAGCAACATCGAGAAAAGCGCACGCTCCATCTTCGTTGTCCTATTCGAACAGCTTATGGAGATGTTCCCGCCACCCGGGGAGGCTCCCGGTCACGACAACCGTACAATCATGATCAAGGCGGCCCTTGACCGCATAGAGGAAGGTTTTTTACAGGTCATCACTAAGCTCGGAGTCAACGAAGAACTATTGAAAAGTCACACTAGTTCTCTCAAGTTCATTGTTCAACATGTTGCCGTAACCATAGGCATGTCACGAGCATCTGACCGTTCCGGAACATTGACGACTAATATTATATGATACAGGAGACCTTGTTGAACAGCATCCCGACATCGCCAATGCCCTCTTGCTCATTACTATTGCAGTGTTGTTACCCTTATTGTTACCTGAGATGGGTGTATTACTTGAGGGATTGCTTCTTCGCCCACTTCTCCGCATGATTGGATTCGGACCGCAAGGACCAATCATAGGTACGTTTTTGTATATTGTCGCGATGCTGAGCAGTTCATCATTATGACGTTTTTAGGTGGAATTGCTGCGTGGTTGCAACGTTGGATATTTGGTGCCACCATCCCAAGGGGTAGCTGGTTTGCGGTGCTCCAGCACCTAGCCATGATTGGTACAAAGCTTTAAGTGTCCTTGAAGTTGTTCGAGACTCAGCAGTCGTTTGTTTCATGCCATCGAAAACCTTTGCGAGGTTCCGTTTTACGTTTGTACTTTAGAGACGATTTTTTGATACCTCAAGTGTATTCCAGATTTCACGTTGTAAATCAATGTGTTGTAACTGAGTCAAGGCTGTCGTTCCTTAACTGTTACGCCAAAAGGCAGTGATACTGAAAGCTTGTGTTTCAGTATCGTGGACAGTATTTATGTAGATGATGGGAACTCTAGTAAGCCACCGTGCTTAGTACATGTGCTTGCCTGTGAGCATGACGTCTTCGTGAAATTAAGCCTAGTGCTGACTGCTCGGAACCCAGTCAAGCAGTCGATAGCCTAAGGCTTCCTTCTTCTTTGGAAGCCTGGGCTGGCTTGGGAGCTGGTCAACCATCGTCTGTACTAGTAAGTCTTAGTACCAGTGTGGTGCGGTTCTCTACTCTAGCATTTATTGCATTGGCACTACGACCTGTTGAAGAAAGTACTTGTTCCTACGGCAATGGAAGTTTAGTAGATGCGGCTACCGAGGGAGGTATGTAAAACTCTTGTCTTTTATGACGACGGAGTTTGTCTAGTAAAAAAATATTGAATGCTTGTGTAAAGCCCTGCCTGTACACAAGTTTTATGTCCGCATACAATTTTGTACAACGTGATTGAATATCTAGTAAGTACGGCCGTACGTGTTAGGTTTTCTAACCTCGTGCTCAAAAACATAGGCCTGATACTAAGTACTGGATTCCTGCATTATCAATTATTTCGATGTCGATAGAACAGAAGGTATGAATTTCAAGCGTCGATGAAATATAAATTCGGAGGGCGTCACATCAAGTATGTAGTCAGGACATAACTAGTATGAGGCTATGGCTGTCATATCCTGTATTAGGTCAACTAGATACTGGAGACTAGCACTAGCTAGTACCGGACCATGAGGTAGAGGGTTCACTACTTATAATAGAGTAATATCTAAGTAGGAAGTGGGTTGTCCTGCAAACCCTGATAAATCAAAATGAGTGGCACATCTACTACTATGCAGATGAAGGGAGGGGCGCTGGTGGTGGGTAAAGGCTATCGGACATATTGGCAGCTGCTTCGTAAAGGTCGAGACTCGCACCCCCCAACTGCGAGGGTGTGAGAGCGTTAAAGGTCGGACATAACTGATCCCATGCGGCTGGAAAGCAGTTCAGCCATAGAAATTCAGTTTCTTCACAGATAACATACGTGGCGCTGTTTGCATATTTGCGATGGTTTCTGAGGGGCTTTCAGCCATTACAACAGCAAAACCACTGGATGTAAATAAAGGATTAGCAAATTCTCTCGCGAGGACTTTCGCACACATACACGTCGAGATGCCAGTCAATGTGACTATGGGTTCAGAGTCAGTGTCCTTATTGACAGCTCGATAGAGACGATGGCATACCAATGCAAGAACCAGGGGCCAGAATTGTCGGTCACCCATCGTATCACCATTTGTTGCCCTAGACTGCCAGCGCTTACGACATCGCGACGAACAGGGTTCACGTAATTGAAGCTGCTGTTGCCCGCGCTCTGTACGACGCTGAAGGAATGCTAATGCTCGCATCAGTACCAGCCAGACCATGCCATCGAAGTCAGGGAGAACTTACCCCATGCATATGGACGGGATGCTAGTACAATGTATGTCAGATAAGTAAGCGGCGAAACGATGGAATATACGCACGGGTCCACCCACACCAGTGGTCGACAATGTCAATTCTACCACTTTGTTGGCCTCGAGAATGATGACGCTGTCATTTGGCAGCAGCTGAGTAGCATCTTGAGCTCCACTGAGAATTTGGAGTAGGACAGGAACGGTGGGCGCTGCGAATGAGACGTTGTTGACGTAGAAGATTCCGTTGTCGATGGAAACTGCGAGGTTGAGGTTGATATCAGCCGCCCCATATTCTGGAATGCCAGGAGCAGCGGGATCGATCAGAGCATGCAAATTAGTCTCCACCAATGGGTTCGTGGATGTAGTATTGACCGTAGTCGGCTCGACCTGCGGGGCGCCTTGGTAGCGTAGGATAGCAGAGTTTGTTCCTCCAACAAAGGATGCATTGGCTGTATCAGGAAGGCTGCGTACCCAGTAGTTGTCTGTCGGTTGATCGGCGACCAAAACCACAGAGTAACGTTGACCCGCAAAAATCTGGAGCTGATCCACCTCGAGGGGTTCGGTCGCCTGTCCATCCGCTTCGATGACGGTCATGTTATGACCATCGATGGAGAACAGGAAGTTGGGATCGCACGACATTGAAATCAGGCGCATGCGATACCGCTTTCCCTGCTCGACATTGATCACAGCTAGATCAGACGCGGGTCCGCCAGCATAGCGACCAAGTCCATTGATGAGCGTGGAGTCGGCGACATTGCCTATGATATAGCGCAAGACGGTGGCCTCTGCATGATACCTAGCGATGCTACTTTAGTCGGGCAGATCACCAGCGTTCATAAAACTCACCAGTCGGAAAGCGTGATCACGGTGCTCTCTGACAACGCATGATGGTCAGAGGATTACTATAAACAATTTCTCGCTCACCATCGTCGACGTCGTACATGTATCCCAAAGGGTCGTCGGGATCATAAATAACCAGCGCTCCCCTGAGACCATCGCACTGTTCCACAGGTCAGTCTCTGATGCATACGCAAGGTTGGAGTGATACTTACATATTGAACAGAATAATGACTGTGATACCAGAAAGTGCCTGTCTGGTTCTGGGCCGAGAAAGTGTGCAAATAAGATTGGTTCTGCGCAACGGGGCATTGCGTGACGGTGCTCGTTCCGTCGGCATAGCTCGTCCCATTCTGGTAGATGCCGTGCCAATGCTGTGGCAAACAAGGTTAAAAAGTTAATTGACATCAATGTTGACGATTTGGCGCTGCTTACGACGCTGGTAACCGTGAACATGGAGGTATCTGTGAGCTGGTTGGCCACCAAAATGGAAAAGTTTTCTCCCTATTATGCGGTCAGCGCTAGTGTGCGACGAGGTGGTTGACAGACGGTCACCTTCTGCGCTGAAATCAAGGGTCCAGGGAATTCGCCATTAACAAGAGTCGCTCTGTTAAAAATTAGGAGCGAGTTTCGAAATCATGACAACAGACTGACGAGCGTGAGTAGCCATCGGGAGCGATGTCATTATTGCCTATGGTAAGTGTGGTTTGGGGGCCGAGCGCACTGCGCTGAGATAATGGGTAGGATTGTGAACGAGATATTATAGCCGCGGCATTAATGGATGAAATAAAAGAAGCAATTAGAATTGGAGTAAACATCATGATAGAAAGTGTTCTCGCCAGGAGAGTAGTAGAATGGAGAAAATGAAGATGATGAAGATGATGAGAGGACACATCTCTCTTCGCAGCTTTTATCCTGCAGCGGCAGATAGCCTTGAGTGAGTGTTTTCTCTAGCGATGATTACCGGCGTGTGATCACGCGGAAAATAGTTGCTCAATGACTGCATCGCCCCGCGCATCTGAATATCAGCAGCGTACCCAAGAGTGAGCAGCTGTCGGCTGATGCGTCAAAGAATTCTGGCGTGCCACGAAAACATGACTCAGACATAACATGAGATAGCTCAGGCGGCCAGAACAGCTAACTGACCCATAGCAGTGCTCGTGCCAGGTTGTGAGAACAATCTGATACGATTCTTCAAGCACAGGAAAGAGGATGCAGCGTACCGCGCGAGAGAATCGGACTAGAGTGTTTAGAAGGAATGATCACACACTGTAAGATAGCTGAGAGCTGACCTATTCATGTGCCTTAAGGCAGATATCGATGGCCCATCTGTGTTAAGCATTGGGTTGAAAAAATGGAACCGGCGAATTTGCGGATGTTTTACTCCGGTATCTAACCGATACTGTCACTATGATGCAGACGGAAAAAGTGAGCGGTGTATCTTGTCAGCGCGCGGGACCAGGCAGTGATCGGGGAGGATACCGGAATAGAGCTTGCCATATTATGGATGGCCTTGGGTAACATCGATGCTAAAGTCAGACTTAGTGCCGATACTATTGCAAGATTGCACACACTGGCATTGGTAGACTAAATTGTATGGGTCAGATTAGCTCGTAATCGAAAAACCGATGCGTGTCTTGACATACACCTGAGGAAAAAACATGGTCGGGATGACAATTCTGGTCTTGTAAGGGAAAGTCACACCCTCACGAAGTGGGACATCGAGTCGATGTTATGCCTTCCATTGCAAGAGGGATTAGCAACGTCATTGTACTGTGCTATGTCATTTGAAGCAAATAGGGCATTGCGACAGTATTCAGAGCGGAGACTCTTCGTCGAGGATTCAATATTGAAGACCCATGCAATGTCTCCAAATGGGAATGCCTTTGCATAAAAATGGACTCAAGACGGGAAGTCGGCATGCAAAGCATCGCCAACAACTTCAATAAGTGCCTGTCGGGTCGGTTAAAGAGGCGTAACAACATAGGATTGGAGCCTAGTTGCCGGGGTAGGCGCCCATCGGGGCCATGGCGGCGGCCGACTACGCACTAAACGCTCGGGCGGATATTTCTTGCGACGCGATCGGAATGGCTGAGACCTGAGGCATGAGGGTTGTGCCAGGTCGGCTGCAGTGACCACAAAGGATTCGTCAGCAATAAGAATCTGCTCACGGCTGCCAGGTTATGGCAGTGACGCTGACTGCAGAATGAATCGCACGACCGCAGATATGCAGACAGTTGAGTTATTGTTAATTCTGGAAGTCGCCTGAAATAACCATAACTGAGGAAATGAGCAATGGCTCTTGGCCCACGCTGTTGGCCACTTTGGTGTTTGCCACATGCCAGTACTTGCTGAGATGGCGATGCTGTGGCAGCAGAACTGAAAACCACTAGTCACCGCTGGGAACGTTCAAATGGAGCCATGATGCATGTGTGGCGCGTCGTGGGAGAAGCAATTAATGCAAAAAACCCCGCACATAACCCAGACTAACCAACACTCTTTGTTTGAAGCCGATAACTTAGCGTTTGAAGCCTCTAACGGTGACGTCGTGCTTATCAGCACCAGCATATACATACTTCTTGTCCTCTCCGTCTACATTTCTCACAATGGCGACGAACTAGAAACAAAAACAAGCCAACTCTACGTTTTCAGTTCCTGGATACCTCGATCGATTACATGCCTAGCATGAGAGTCGGACATGGGCTACTCCACGCGCAGCCACGCAGTGGATACTATGACACGTCGAATCGCGTAGACACGCATCGGTATCTGCGCTCTCCGTAGCTGCGCAAATGACGCGTATACATGTTCGTGTAAGTCTTTCGACGCATTCAGTACTAGCCAGCATTCCGTGGTTTTCAATATAATTGCCTATGTTTTGATTTCTCACCGCTTCCGATGGAATATATATAATGCAAAACGTGCTGAAAAAAACCAAGCGCGCTCGTCTGCCCCCAAAAAACACGCTGAAACAAGGACCTACCTCCACGGATGCTCCTGCGGCTACCGTACCCCTACCCCTGCACCTGTTGCAAGACCACACTGCCTTCCTAATATAATTCACGTCTGGAGAGATCTTACTCTCGACCTTTGGCATACTCGAATGGGACACATCGGAAAGAGCGCTGTTGTACGGCTCGTCGGATTGGAAATGCCCGGGTGACTGTGGCCCTGGTCTTCAGCGGTCTGTGGATTCTGACACCTCTGTCTCGTCCGCATAGCGAAGTCGGCCACAATAACGTGCCAATAGTGCAACCAAGGAAGCGAATCAGTTCATCAGTTCATCTTCACCTGCCCAGCATACACCAGACAACGCAACATCCTTAGACTGGAACTGGGAACGAAAGCGCACCATGTGAAACACATCCTTAACGAGGCCGAATGCTTGAAGCCGCTGTTCAAATTCATCGCTAGCACACAAGGAGATTCGAGCTAGTCTTCGGAGTCGTCGCTGCCCAAAGAAAAGAACAAGAGAAGCATGTAGACGGAATGCTCACCCACCCTAACCATTGTAACAACTATCCATTCACCTTAAGCTGGTGTCACCGTCTGCGCTCCGGCCAGGACCATTGTACAAGACCCACCATTCACAAAACACGCATATAATTAGAAAGAGAAGATACCGCATGTATTGTCTAATACAGGGTTTCGCCCCGACGGACAAAAAACAAGGATACAATAAACAAGGATACACAAAAAAACCTCTGTCTCGTTGTGAATATTATTTCATCGCTCAATACCCCACATCAACCCTTTTCACTTCTCAGAGACCGAGCGCACTGGTAATTTCTGGACCTTATACACTCCGATGATTGCGGACCCGTACCTGTCGTCTTTCGGTAGATGGTTTCTCAACAATCAAACGAGCGTTCTTTACCTCCAACTGCTGGCTTCAACGGATCAGGCTTTGGACATTTGACAAACCGGTTGCACACGCTGGGAAACTGGGTTCGTAGGTCGAAATCTTCAGATCCGTCAATAAGTATTCTGTCTTTCCTTAATTGTTTACATCGATTATGGCCTTCTTTGCAAGGTTACCAAAAATACAACAGGTCTGTTTCCTATTATTCAATTAGCATCTAGACGCCCCTCAGCTATCGTGGGAGGGACTGGAGGGTAATTGTCATAGATCGGACATAAGCGATCCCATTCATCTGTAAAGCAGTTCAGCAATAGAAGTACAGATTCTTCACGTATGACCTACATGGCACGGGACTGACATGGGCGGCAGTATCTGAGGGACTTTCCGCCATTACCACAGCAAAACCGCTAGATTCGAAGAATTAGCCATTTCGTTCACGGGAAGATTTACACACGTACGCATCAAGGTGCCAGTCAATGTGACTGTTTGTTCAGAGTTAGTAAGTACCCTTATTGACAGCTCGATAAAAATGATGTCATACCAATGCAAGAACCAGGGGCCAGAATTGTCGGTCACCCATCGGATCACCATTTGGTCCCCAATGACCCCAGCGCTGGTCACATCGCGGCGAACGGGGTTTATGTAATTGAAGCTGCTGTTGCCCGCGCTCTGTACGACGCTGAAGGAATGCTAATGCTCGCATCAGTACCAGCCAGACCATACCATCGAAGTCAGGGAGAACTTACCCCATGAAGATGTATGGGATGCTAGTACAATATATATCAGTCACGTAAATATCGAAAGAATGGAAAAGACGTACAGGTCCACCTGGAGCGCTTACTATTACCACCGTCAGCTCTACTACTTTGTTGGCCCCGAGAACGTACACACTCCCCGGTGGGAGCAGCTGAGTAGGGTCTCGGGCTCCACTAAGAATTTGGAGTAGAACAGGAACGGAGGGGGATTGGAATGGGAATGTGGCATTATTGACATAGAAGTTTGGACCGCTGATGGTAACCTCGAGGGTGAGGTTGATATCTGCCTTCCCATACTCTGGAATGCCAGGAGCACTGGGATTGATTAGAGCATGCAAGTTTGTCTCTTGCAATGGGTTCGTGGATGGAGCATTGACTGTAGTCGGGTCAGCCTTTGGGGCGCCTTTGTAGCGTAGGATAGCAGAGCCATTGAAGGTCTGAACCGAGTTAGGAATACCGCGTACCCAGTAGTTATCCACTGGTTGATTGGCTACTAGAACCACAGAGTAGCGCTGAGCCACAAAAATTTGAAGCTGATCTACTACCAGAGGTTCTGTCAGCTGTCCATCAGCTTCGATGACAGTTAATTGGTGGCCGTCGATGGAGAACTGGACGTTGTTGTCGCATGACATTTGAACCAGGCGCAAGCGATATCGCTTTCCTTGCTCGACGTTGATCACAGCGAGCTCAGACTCGGGTCCGCCAGCATAGCGACCGAGTCCATTGATGAGTATAGACTGGGCAACAGGTATCGTGCCGCGCAATTCTGGGGCCACAGTATGATACCTAGTGATCTTGATTTAATCGGACAGATTATCCATGTTCATAAAACTCACCAGTCGGCAAGCGTGATCACGGTACTTGCTGGAAATATCATGGTCAGATGGTTTATATGAACCAATTTCTCTCTCACCATCGTCGACATCGTACATGAATGCTAAAGGGTCCCAAGGATCATAGATTACCAGGGCTCCCCTAAGACCATCGCACTGTTCCATAGGTCAGTCCTATTCTGCTTATGCCAGGTTCGAGTGATACTTGCATATTGAACAGAGTAATGACTGTGATACCAGAAAGTGCCCGCCTGGTTCGGAGCGGAGAAAGAATTTAAAAATGAGTGGTTCGGTATGATGGGACATTGTGTGACGAAGGATGTCCCATCGGCATAATTCGTCCTATTCTGGTAGATACCATGCCAGTGCTGTCGTAGACAAGGTCAATTTTAACAACATTGATGATTTGACACTGCCTACGACACTGGTAACCAAGAACATCGTGTCGTTTGTGAGCTTGTTGACTACATCAATGTCAAAGTGATCTCCCTGTTATGAGGTCAGCACTGGTGCCCCACAAGGAGCTCAACAAAAGTTCACCTTCCAGGCTGCAATCAAAGGTCCAGGAAATTTGCCATCAACAAGAGTTGCTCTGTCAAAGATCAGGAGTGAGCTTTGAGTGCCGTGATAATAGACTCACGAGCGATTGAAGCCATCGGGAGCGATGAAGCTATTACCTATGGTTATTCTGGTTTTGGGGCCATGTGCAGCGGGCTGAGATAGTGGGTAGGGCTGTGAGCGAGATACTATAGATGCAGCATTAATCGATGAGATGAGAGAAACGATCAGAAAAAGAATAAACATCGCGATGATTCACGATAGGTGGTGATGCTGTTGTTCGCGAGAGTAGTGGAAGCAGAAAAATATTATAATGCTCTTGCAGCTTTTATCTTCCAGCGGTAGTGCCCCCGTTCAAAGCAGTTGGTACCTTTGGACTTATCGGCATATGGTTGCACCGCAAACGGTTTGGGCCCAATTATTGTCAGCGCCCCGGTTTCAATGGTGCACCTGGGAGTTAGCGTTTAGCAACGATCTGTCAACGCGTTCAAGAATGATGACATAGCACGAGTCTGGCATGACCCAGACACGATCTAAAATAATTCAGACGGAAAAACGGCTAACCGACTCCAGGTGTCAGTGCTAGGGTGCCATCACAGCTTGAGTCAATTCTTCATGCACAGGAAAAGAACAATGGCAATCACTCTTCCTCGAGTACGGCAGCTGCGCGATAGTATCGGACTAGCGATTGTCGGACAGAAATGATGACAAGCTATCACCTATGTGCTCATGGCAAGTCAGGACCTCGGCGATGCCACTAGGCGCTTAGGTATCTCTGCAAAGATTTTTTGAAAGGAGACGGCCGGCAGCCTTGATAATAATCACGATGACCAAAGGTTGTGCCACCATTGGACCGTGCAAGTTGGGCTGAAGATCCATCGAGGACTCGTCACCAATATTGGAGGGCCCGTCTTGGCTAGCAGGCTATGGCAGTGGCTGCAGTACCAAGAGCACAACCGCAGTTGGGCAGATAGTGGATTTATTTTGGACGGGGATTGAATTCAAGTGGTGGCAATCGTCGCGGCGAGAAGCCGCAGTCACGATATGAACCTGGATCGTGTTCAAAGTCAAGCAGGTATCCAAAAGCATCAAATCTCGATTCACACCTTGGTGGTTCGTAATTAATGCTATCTTCAAACTTTCGCTAGTATGGAGGCAAGAGATTCAGGCATAGCATCGGATGAGCTGCCATTTTAGGGTATTTTACGTGCCCAAATATCAGACCCTTTTAATTGTCAAGCCACACGTAAACAGAAGCGGTATACTTAAGGGGACGATATGAAAGTAACTGCAAAAGGCAGCTTCTCATCAAAACATCTGATAGTACTACGCTCTACAGAGTCTGGCACACAAATGTCCAAAAATAACACCCCGTCGGAGATTTAACTTACCATCACCGCGGCCGTGTCTGGCGCCATGGTGGACGTCATCGATACGGCTTCGTCGTACGGGCAAACGGAGCCGTTCACAACTTCTAACTGCACAGTTCGAAGCTCTTGCTATTTGCAAACTCGCAGCTGCCGAAGATGAGGATGACAAATTTATCGGTTTTGCCATTGCCGTTCACAGTACTGCCAGTAAGACCGACCAACCTAGTAGACCAATCGGCCGTTCAGCACATAATTAGGTGACTTTTCGTAGGCAAAAATATTTAATGCAGGATAAAATATATTTTCATGCATTAGGAACGTGTGCCGTGATGACGGGTGTCACTGCTTGAAATTCAACAAGGGTCTGGACATCTGCCCCCCAACAAATTCAGGGGAGCATCGAGCTCCTCAGATTAAACTTATGCTTTGTCCTTTCAGGACTTGTAACAGCGATATCCGCTGACATAATATTACGGTGTGGTATCTGCGCAGGCTCTGTTGTTCGATACTACTGCTCCTGCACTTCACGGATCCCTCGTATACTTTTGCATACTTCTATAGGCACTGGTTTGGACGCTTTGTGATGAGCCACATCTCTCTAGCGCTTGCCAAGGGATAGCGGTGCTTCCTTGTGCAGTCAGATCAGTAAGGTAAGCCCCGGTTTCAATACTGATCGCCGCCGCCGCCAACGTATGATGGGCAACTGGCATCCAATGCGAAACAACCTGTTATCATTCGGATCTTTCTCGGTTCCTTTGCAAGAATGAAAACCCTGAGCACACAAGGTCCGGACACCCTCACATCATTCACAACGAAAAGACCCCAGACCCTGCTACTGGCAATATCTTCACGTCAAGTTAAGTACATAATCCTCAACTAGTCATACTACTCACGTGTCCGTGGTGTATAAGCCAGGCTGGTCACGAGCCTAATTCTCAACGTTGAACGTTGAACCTCCACTGCCCGCACCCCCGCTACTGTCTTTTCTTCGCTGACGTCTCTCCTTCGTTACTTGACATGGCGCTTCCTGTCGCTGACGTATCAGTTAAACTTCATTCGGAACTTCGGACGTTGTGTTATTTATATCCTAGCGTGTAGCGCATTGCACAACCACGAGTGACCGACAACCATAAACTAATTTAATAAAGCGCGCCTTGAGTCCCTGGAGCAGGACAAGAGCAGCGAAAGTCACAGAAGAATGAAGTTCGGTGCGATGAAGTGCATTTGGAATTAAATGGGGGAGCTTTACTTGAGAGTTAGAAGAAGGGGGGTTCTGGACAAGCAGAAAGATGGATAACTGAACATATAACCGCGAAGCCTGCTCGAGGCCATAACATGGGCCAGAGTGTCTTGGTACAGGTTGAGTGGACTGAGGTTTCGGTCGCGCCTAGGCTATCTATCGAGAGTACTGAACTGCGAGACGGGAATACAGGCGAGTTCGAGGCGCTCAATCGTACTCCCTGCGTGATCAAGACTTATATTACTAGCAACAAAATAAATTGACATAATAAAATAAGAATTGAGTGGGGCTAATAGTTGCCACATAAGCGATCCCATTCATCTGTAAAGCAGTTCAGCAATAGAAGTACAGATTCTTCACATATGACCTACATGGCACGGTGCTCACATGTGCGCTAGTATCAGGGGGATTTTCTGCCATCACAACGGCAAGACCGTTGGATATGAAAGATTAGTCATTTCGTTAACGGGAAGATTTACACACATACGCTTCAAGGTGCCAGTCAATGTGACTGTTAGTTCAGAGTTAGTATCCTTCTTGACCACTCGATAAAAATGATGTCATACCAATGCAAGATCCAGGGGCCAGAATTGTCGGTCACCCATCGGATCACCATTTGTTGCCCATCGCTCCCAGAGTCGACCACATCACGGCGAACAGGGTTGATGTAATTGAAGGTACTGCTGCCCGCGCTCTGTACGACACTGAAGGAATGCTAATGCTCGTATCAGTACCAGCCAGAGCATGCCATTGAAGTCAGGGAGAACTTCGCCGGGAACTGTTCATGCATGTGTGGCGCGTCGCAATTGAAACCCCGCACATAAGGGGCGTGGCTATTTTGACGAGGCACTGACGAGTCTTGACACGGCTACTGACGCGCTAGTGCGACTCATTTCTATGTCCTATATTCGACTTCCACATCAAGTTGCATGGGTTCATGATCATTCCTTCGTTGATTTTATTCACCATAGGCACATATACTACTAGCTAGTCCTCAGCTAATGGTTATTTTCTTGGAACTGACGCGGCACTGACGAGCCTTGACGCGGCCACTGATGCGCCAGTGTTCTACAATACTTCTAGTCGCATCAGCCAATGACTATTTTCTCTTCCTCCCTCTTTGGACCCTCTTTGAAGCACGTCGACGCTTAACTGGTGCGCATTCTTCAGCTGGCAGTGAAGGGCGACGTTTCACGGGCGCAATCTCTTCTTCAACCGGCAGCGCAGTAAGGCTGTGACGACCAGCAATCAATGCTCCAGGGCCAGCATCAGGGTTTTCGAAGACCTTTTGTTCAAATCTCGCCCGCTCGTCACGGGATAGATGCAGGATGTGGGTTTGCTTTGGATGGTGGTGAACGCCCTTGTGAATGTAGTAGACGCCCCCTTTGTATGAATACAGCACTGACATGACACCACAGTCGACGTGTGTGAGCTGCCCGCCACAACGGCACGATGCATTCAGTTGCCCCATGATGCCTGCCCTGCGTGTCTGTGGACGCGTAACCACCTCACAGGTAGGTTCGTCACAAGTAATGACACCCAAGCAAACACGTCTCGTCTTTTTGCCTTGTGACCACGTCAGTGCCGACTCTGACCCCCACTTGTCTCCTCCTCCCGGCTGGCAAGCCCAATGTTCCCTGAGATTATCAGTTTTTGCTACCTCCTCCCACGTGAATAACCTTTCAAAATCTCCGTCCGGCCATGGGTCCCACAGGTCATCTGACAGGATCTGGTCACCAGTGGCAGATTTGGGACGTAGAGAGTCGGATGGTCGATCTGGACCGCGGCGTCGATTTGCTCGGGCTGTAGAAGGACTAGCACTTCGGGTACGCCGGCGTGACACGTATTTTGTGTCTGTGCGAAGATCAAAGATCTCCTGGGAGTGGTGTCTCATGAGTCGAGGGAGGAACGGAGTATTTGAGGCGGAGTGCACAATTTTATGTGTGATAGGAGTCGTTGGAATGTGTGGAGTACCTATGTTTTAACTATAGTGTCAGGGAGGCAAGCAAAGAGTCATCGAAGCATTGCTCACTTAAAGCGTGTGACGACCGAGTGGTCTGCACAGAGGCCGGAAGATAAGCTATTACATTACCTGTTGTACTCGTCGAATTTGAGTTCGCAAAGAGCATCAGTGGAACGGCGCACCTGAGCGGTCATAGCAGGGGATCAGGTCCCCAACCAGCGGTTGATCTGGACGATTTTGATCCCCTCTCTCGCTGGGATAGAAAAAATTGAATATATGTTTGATTAGTTCCTAGAGTATGGTTAAAACAAGTGCACTCTATATCTCAAAGCACTCACAAAAGGCATGGTATATATAGATTTCCAACAGCGCGTTACCGGTTCTGCTCTAGACTTAGTGTTGCCGCAGTTCCGGCTTATTCCGGCTTTAGCCGTGGGTGCAGCCATAGTAAGCCGAGCCATGTACCTAGTTGTAGCTTATGTAATTAGTAGCCTGGTCTGGTCCATGGAGTCCCGTTTTCGGTCTCTCAGCCAGCTTGAGCCAGTTTTAAGATTAAAATACTTGGTACGCCCCACAGAATCCGAACACCCCGTCGGAGGTTCAATTTACCATCACCGCGACCATGTCTGACATCATCGATTTGCCAAAGTTCTTAATTATGGTCGGGCAAACGGAGCCGTTGCTTCATGCACAACTAGCTGCAGAACTCGAAGCTCTTGCTATCACAGCTGCCGAAGGTGGGGATGTCAAATTTATCGGCTTTGCCATTGCCGATACTCGTTCACACTACCATTGACCAACCCATCTAGACCAAATGTTTAGCAGGTACTGGCAACCGTTCAGCACATAATTAGGTGAGGCAAAAATATCCGCTGATATAATCTCATGGTATACTTCTGCTCCTGCACTTCACAGGCTGATCGATCTGAAGAACTTGAACCATCAATTTGGCCTCTGTACAAAGCCTGTAGTGGTGATTAAGTGACGCACAACATAGCGCTTGCCAAGGAATAGCGGTGCTTCCTGGATCCTCATGCGGGAAGCCCATCAGTAAACCGGTAAGCCCCGGTTTTCAAACTGATCGCCGCCGTCACCGCCAACGTACGACTGGCAACTGGCATCCAATGCGAAACAACCTCCTGTTATCATTCGGATCTTTCCTTTGAACAACTCCAACCCTGAGCAAACAAAATCCAGATACCCGGCTCACGTCATTCACAACGAAAAGACCCCAGAATCTGCTTAACATCTTCGCTTCAAGTTAATGTTGCAGCTATCGCCAAGCAGTATTGTATGTAGTAATCTCCAACCCCCATTGCCTGCATACCGGCTCCCCCCCTCCCCCACCCCCACCCCCACCCCCACCCCCCGCTACTGTCTTTTCTTCGTTACTTAACATGGCGCTTCCTGTTCCTAACGTGGCGGTTAAACTTCATTCGGACGTTGCGTTATTTGTATCCTAGCGTGTAGCACATTAATGGGTACAATAATGTCTTATACAAGGGCGCACATTGCACAACCGCGAATAACCGACAACCGTAATTAATAAAGCGCGCCTTGAGTCCCTGGGGTAGGACAAGAGCAGGGAAAGTTACAGAAGAATGGAGTTTGGAGCGATGAAGTGCATATGAGATAAAATGGGGAAGCTTTACTTGAGAGTTAGAAGAAGGAGGTACTCTGGACAAGCAAAAAGATGGACAACTAAGCATATGACCGTGAAGCCTGCTCGAGGCCATAAAATAGACTGAGGTTTGGGTGGCGCCAGGCTATCAGTGCACTATCGAGAGGACTGAACTGCGAGATGGGAATACGGGCGAGTTTGAGGCGCTCAATTGTACTCCCCGCGTGATCAAGACTTGTATTACTAGCAATAAAATAATAAAACAAGAATTGAGTGGGGCTAATAGTTGCCATTGTAATAGATTGGACATAAGCGATCCCATTCATCTGTAAAGCAGTTCAGCAATAGAAGTACGGATTCTTCACGTATGACCTACATGGCACGGGGCTCACATGTGCGCTAGTATCAGGGGGACTTTCTGCCATTACAACGGCAAGACCACTGGATATGAAAGATTAGCCATTTCGTTCACGGGAAGATTTACACACATACGCTTCAAGGTGCCAGTCAATGTGACTGTTAGTTCAGAGTTAGTATCCTTCTTGACCACTCGATAAAAATGATGTCATACCAATGCAAGATCCAGGGGCCAGAATTGTCGGTCACCCATCGGATCACCATTTGTTGCCCATCGCTCCCAGAGTTGACCACATCGCGGCGAACCGGGTTCTCGTAATTGAAGGTACTGCTGCCCGCGCTCTGTACGACATCGAATGTATGCTAATAATCATGAATACCAGCCGAACATGCTTTCGAAGTCACGGCGAACTTACCCCATGAAGGTGTATGGGATGCTGGTACAATATATATTAGTCACGAAAATATAGAATGAATGGAAAAGACGTACAGGTCCACCTGGACCAGTTATTGCCATCGTCAACTCTACCACTTTGTTGGCCTCGAGAACGTACACACTCCCGAGTGGGAACAGCTGAGAAGGGTCTCGAGCTCCACTAAGAATTTGGAGTAGAACAGGAACGGAGGGGGCTTGGAATGTGACATTATTGACATAGAAGTTTAGGCCAGTGACGGAAACCTCGAGGTCGAGGTTGATATCTGCATTACCATACCCTTTAGTGCCAGGAGCACCGGGATTGATTAGAGTATGCAAATCGGTCTCTTGCAATGGCTTCGTGGGTGGATTATTGACCGTAGTCGGGTCAACCTTTGGGGCGCCTTTGTAGCGTAGGATAGCAGAGCCGTGGTGGGTCTTGTCCGAGTTAGGAACACCGCGTACCCAGTAGTTATCCACCGGCTGATTGGCTACGAGAACCACAGAATAGCGTTGAGCCGCAAAAATCTGGAGCTGATCTACCACCAGAGGTTCTGTCAGCACTCCATCTGCTTCAATTACATATAAGTCGTGGCCGTCGATAGAGAATAGGACATTAGAGTCGCATGACATTTGAACCAGGCGCAAGCGATATCGCTTTCCTTGCTCGATATTGATCACAGCAAGATCGGACTCCGGTCCTCCAGCATAGCGACCGAGTCCATTGATGAGTATAGACTGAGCAACAACTATCGTGCCGCGCAATGCAGGGGCTACAGTATGATACCTAGTCATCCTGATTTAATTGGGCAGATCATCCATGTTCGTAAAACTCACCAGTCGGCAAGCGTGATCACGGTACTTGCTGGGAACACATCACAGTCAGAGGGTTCATATGAACCAATTTCCCGCTCACCATCATCGACATCATACATGTATGCCAAAGGGTCTTGAGGATCATATATTACCAGGGCTCCCCTGAGACCATCGCACTGTTCCATGGGTCAGTCCTCTACTACGTATGCAAGGTTCGAGTGATACTTGCATATTGAACAGAGTAATGACTGTGATACCAGAAAGTGCCCGCCTGGTTCTGGGCGGAGAAAGAATGCAAAAATGAGTGGTTCGGCGTGATGGGGCATTGGGTGACGAAGGACGTCCCATCGGCATAGTTGCTCCCATTCTGGGAGATGCCATGCCAGTGCTGCCATACACAAGGTCAATTTTAACGACATTGTTTTTTTTTTGACACTACTTACGACACTGGTAACCCGGAACATCGAGTCATCCGTGAGGTCGTTGACCACCTCAATGTCGAAGTGATCTCCCTGTTGTGAGGTCAGCACTGGCGCCCCACAAGGAGCTCAACAAAAGTTCACCTTCTGGGCTGTAATTAAAGGTCCAGGAAACGTGCCGTCAACAAGAGTTGCTCTGTCGAAGATCAGGAGCGAGTGTCAGTGCCGTGATGATAGACTCACGAGCGTTTGAGCCCATCGGGAGCGATGACTCTATTACCTATGGTTATTCTGGTTTTGGGGCCATGTACAGCGGGCTGAGATAGCGGGTAGGACTGTGAGCGAGATACTATGGATGTAGCATTAATCAATGAGATGAGAGAAACGGCTAGAAAAAGAATCAACATCGCGGTCGTTCACGATAGATGATGTTGTTCGCGAGAGTAGTAAAAGTAGAATGCTCTTGCAGCTTTTATCTTGCAGCAGTTGGTACCTTTCGACTTTATCGGTGTGTGAACGCTCTCGCAATTTTCAGCTTTCAGCAGTAGATTGCCTGGAGGTGTTCCTGTTCGAAGCAGTTGGTACCTTTCGATTTCATCGGCGCGCGATTACTCCGCAAACGGTTTCTCGGCGCCTAGTTAGCACCAGCACCCCGGTCGTCCAGATGACGCTCCGGGAGTCAGCAACGATGATGTATTCAAGAATGTTGGCGTACCACGAAACCATAACTCAGACGAAGAAACGGTCAAGTTACTGACCCCAGGTGTTAGTGCTAGGTTGCCACAACAGCTTAAAATCATGTCCAGGAAAAGAAGAATGCCGATGTGACTAGTGGTGCCCCTCCGCCGAGCATAGCGGCTGTGCGAGAGTATCGGACTAGCATTGTAGGACGAAAACGGTCACACGCTGTGAGGTACTATGTGCTCATGGCATATCGGGACCTGTGCCACTACTAGTAGGCACTGAGACGTCTCTGCACATAATTTTGGAGGGAGGCCCGGCAGCCTTGATGATAGTTGAGGTGTGATGGTGAGACAGGCAGATAGTGAAATTGATGTTAATTTTGGAAGTCGGGCGGCCGCTGTAGTGACTATAACTAGTGAGGTACTGGGCCTGGCCTCAGGTCCTCATGAGCCAGACCCATGATAATGGCTTGGACCTGGCTTCACATGGCTCGGCTAACTAGTCTATAAAGTGAGGAAGTGAGCCATAAAGAATCTATACGAGTTCTCTGGAGGCATTAGTACACTCACGAGAACCTGAGGATAGAAGAAAGGATGAAGCAGTGGCGTCAGAAAGTCAAGGGATTGGGGCCAAGGTGTCCACGACCCGACATAAGTATCCCAATATGTCAGAGCTGTCGTGGCAAGATGCAGCGACCTGGATTGTGTTCAAAGCCGAGCAGCTATCCAAAAGCATCAAACCTCGATTCACCGTGATGGTCGAGCGTTGTCTGCAAACTTTCAACGGAGGAAAGAGATGGTGTCTAAACGGATCACAGTGTCGAGGATATCCTGATGAGAAGCTGCCTTCAGCTGCGATTGATAGATATATTCTAGGGATAGAAGCAAGGGTCAGTCGACGTTAGTTGATTACTTTATTATGCTGCATTAATACATGTACGTCGCATGTGGATGTTGTTTTAAATCATTCAAGTTGATGCTACGAAAACAGCCGTGACTAGGAGCCCGTTCGGTAACCAGTATTTGGTTCACTTTACAATATATACATAACAACTGTACGACGGCGGCATGAGCAGCCGTAGGCGGAGTCTGAAAGTGATGGGTGAGTCGATAAGGATAAGGGCAGCGATAGCATCAAAGCTCATACATAGTGCCATGATGATGGATCTTGGGCGAATACTCCAACACCCAATATTTACTACAGCCCTGATCCCCCAGGGTCCTCTCATCACTGCCCAGCTTGGTCACCAACCCGATCAAAACCAGCTAGCGCGAGCTCAAGTCTGGCAGCGTGCATTTCGCTATATTGCACTCCTAATCAATATTCTTCTCGCTGCTAGTGGTGCCGAAGTCCGGTTCGGTTCGGTTCTTAGGCCTCTAAATGCGAACACCGAACTGGACCATTGGTCGCGTTCAGGCAAGGAGGGCGAACGCTGGACCGGACCCTTATGAATGCGTTCACAAGCATTCGGTTCAAGTTCAGAACGCGTTCGAACGCTCGAACGCTACATATAATTTGACAAAAATTGCAAGAAATACATGAACCGTAAATGAGTAGCTAAATTTCGTCCTTGGCATAGTGTTCATGAGCAGCAGCAAACTCAGCTTGAACCGTTGCAGAAATGTGGCCTTGACGGTACCCACTCTTCAATAGCTGAAGGGCCTCGAATGTTGTTGGCAACAAACAATTACGGCGTGCAGTCCCAGTGATGCCGCCACTCGAAAAGGCTCGTTCAGATGCAACGGCAGAGCCTTGAATAGTGAGGTAATCCTTTGCAATGCGTGAGATGGTGGGATATTGAATGGAATGGTGCTAAAGGCATATTGAGTCAACTTGCAAGGAAATGCGATGCGAAAAAAACTCACGCCCCACCACACCACTATATTCTCAACATCCTCTAATGGGGCAGCAAGGTAGTCGTCAAGCTCCTGGCGAGGTCTTCAATTTGCGGTGTCATTTGCGACACGAGTTTTGACAGCATCGCGCATCCAGCTATGGCCGTATGACCCATGGCGAGCAAGCGAGGCAGGAGCTGCAATAGATGGCTCTGCAGCAGCGGGCGAGGAGTTGTGATGATAATATTTGTCAAAAACCTTCCGCAAGCTTCTCATGCCCTCGTCGAAGTCGTGAGGCTCCCATTTACCCTTCGCATATGCCACCTTATAGTTAGGATCAAGCGCTACATTGTACATTAGATAGGGCATCATAGTAAATAAAACACATACCGAGGCAAACAAAATAAACATCAGTTTCGTCAATCTTGTGGTACCATTTGCGAATATTGTCGAGGCCAGAGTTGATTGCAGATGAAAAGTCATCAAACTTCGAAGAACCAGCCATGTTTTGCCAAGTTTGTTGGAGATACTCGAGGACTGGAATTGCGCGCCATACAGTAGGTTCACGAGTCGCCGAAAACGATTGTTGTGCATTGGCAGGTTCCTGGTTATACAGTAGGTTAATACAACATTTGAGACTCGACTGGCCACTCGCACATACCTGAAGCACGTCGTGCATCAATTCCAACTTCTTCCATTCTTCGGCTGAAAGCTTGAATGCTGTCACAACCCTTTTAACGAATAAACGTAGGGGCGGAGACTAGGACTCAAACAAAGGTTATCTAACAAAAAAGAGGGAATAGCAGGGACGTCTTAGGATTGCTAGCAGTAAGCTAATACAAAAGAGGTTTGAACTGAAGAACTACTGACTACAACGAGCTACCTATATACATATATTGAAGCGGAGACTGAATCTGAATCTGAACTAACTAGCCAATCATTAAATAGGAAAGGGAATCGTATGATGTTCTAAATATAACTACACTATGATGTCATGGAACGTGTGATGGCTGTGCAAGGATTCTGGAAGGTTCTAGAGTCACGTGACTTAATCGCTTGAGTAAGGAAGTCAAAATCAGGAACGTCGGAAATAGAAGTAGTAGGCGCTAACGGAATAGAGAAGTTCGGGTTAGGGTTTGTGAACGTTATAGGTACAGACGCTGACTGGGCGCTAGCGACGGGCGCTTGTGATGGGCGCTTAACGGGTGTCTTACGAGTGTTCAAGAAAGAATAATGATTTGTATTTGGAACTCGTGACATTACCCCCTCTCTAGGATGAGCGTCATCGCGAATGTAGGATGGTCGGATGTTTTTCTCTCTCCATTGCTTGAATGCATCCGTATCTAGAATAGATCCTAAAATTCTTTTGGATTTGGCGGCCGTGGGATTCTTCTTATGGAAGTCTGCAATTAGAATCGGGGAGTTTTTAACATTTTCTTCTGGCTCCCATGTCGACTCTTCTATCGGATATCCTTCCCATTTTACTCGGTATTGCACTTTTCCTCGGAACTGTCGGCTATCTAGTATCTCTTCTACGACAAATTCTTCCTGATCGTCAACAATGTCTGGAGGTGGTCGGGTGGGTTGAGAATGAGGGATCAATTGAGATGCGTAATATGGAGTAAGCAACTCTACATGGAAAACCGGGTGAATCTTATAACTCTCTGGCAACTTCAATTTATAGTTCACTTCACCGGTCTTCTCTAGTATTTCAAAGGGCCCAAGACGACGATCTGACAACTTTTGACTTGGACGACGTTGTTTGATGTTTTTTGCATCTAGCCAGACCTTGTCTCCCTTTTTATACTGAGGTGCGTCTTTAACTCCTTGGTCATAGAAGCGTTTCATGCGTTCATTAACCATCTTTAGAGTATTTTCCGCATCATCTCGTGCTTCTCTTATTTGATCTGCTCTCTCATCGGCGGCGGGAATATAGGATGTGGAGTTCGGAGATATGGTGAATTCAGGATTATATCCATAGAGGACTTTGAACGGACTATGACCGGTTACTGTGACTGCATTATTATGTGAAAATTCTGCTATCGGTAGCCAAGATACCCAATCGTTTTGTCTATACGAGGCAAACATGCGCAAGTATTGTTCAACTTCTTGATTTACACGTTCTGTTTGTCCGTCTGTTCTGGGGATGATAGGAGGTCGAAGCAGACCATTTTATTCCTAATCTTTTCGACACTTGTCCCATGAACTTCGAAATGAACTGTGTTCCTCTATCCGAAATCACTTTCTTTGGTGTACCATGATGTTTCCATACGTTCTTTAGAAATAGCTCGGCAATTCCTTTCGAGTCTACGTCTTTGGTGGTGGGAATGAAATGTGATTGTTTCGAAAATCGATCAACGACAACGAATATACTGTCACATCCTTCACTCTTCGGCAAGTCCACTATCAGGTCGCATGAGATCAGTTTGCCAAGGTCCTTCTGGGACTTCATTTGGCTGTAAAGGTCCCGTTGGTCTACTGGGAAACACTTTTGTTTGTTTGCATCGATCGCAACCGTCTACATAATCATGGACATATTTCGTCATTGAAGGCCACCAATAGTTTCTGGAAATCAATTCTAAGGTTTTGGCACGTCCAGGGTGTCCAGCCGGTGGAGAGTCAGTGAAACAACTCCAATATCTCTCGGCGGATCTCTTTATCGTTTGGAACATATACCAGTCCTCGGAATAACACCAATCCGTCCTCAACATTCCATTCTTCGATTCCTCTGCGCAATTGTACCGGTGCTACTTTTAGCGTTTCTAGCGCTTTCATTACTTCGGGCTCTCGTTCTGTGCTCTTTCTTATCTTTTTCATGAGCGAACTTTCTCCTTCTATGAGAATTTGGCCTCGTTTAGCAGCTTTGATTTTGAAAAATTCCGGTTTCA